TGATGATTTCTTTTAATTATCTACTTATATACCTATATTATATTACTAATATTTATTATCTACTTAATATATATTTATTATCTTCTTAATATTTACTTTGATATCTACTTATCATATATACTTATTGTTATTTACTTATATATTAAATTATTAATTATCTACTTTACATACATATATTATATTACTTATATTCCTTATCTACTTAATCTCTACCTATTATATACTTATATATATTAAAGTATTATATATAAGTGTATTACTCATCTTATAGTAATATACTTATATATTATATACTATAAACATTATATTATATATTAGTTATAAAATAATCTACTTATATACCTATATTATATTACTAATATTTATTATCTACTTAATATATACTTAAATTACTTATTATCTACTTATACATCTCTATCTTCATCTTCTCCAAACCTCTCTCTCTCTCTCTCTCTCTCTCTATATATATATATATATATATATATATATATATATAATTATATCTACTTATATATTAATTATCTACTTAATATATACTTATTATCTACTTATACATCTCCATCTTTTTAATATTTACTTTGTTATCTATATTTATTGTTATTTACTTATATATATTAAAATATTATATATAAGTGTATTACTCATCTTATAGTAATATACTTATATATTATATACTATAAACATTATATTATATATTAGTTATACAATTATATTAGTTACACTTGAATTCATAGTAATTAAATTCATCTTATTAGTTAATTTTTACATTTTTCATTAAAGTATAAAAGTAGTTAATTGTTACATTTTTTATTCAAGTATAAAACTAGTTAATTGTTACATTTTTCATTAAAGTATAAAACTAGTTAACAGTTACATTTTTCATTCAAGTATAAAACTAGTTAATTGTTACATTTTTCATTAAATTATAAAACTAGTTAATTGTTACATTTTTCATTAAAGTATAGAACTAGTTAATTGTTACATTTTTCATTAAAGTATAGAACTAGTTAATTGTTACATTTTTCATTCAAGTATAATACTAGTTAATAGTTACATTTTTCATTTCCCTATTATTTAATTTGTTAATTGTTGCATTCATCATAAAAGTAAAAAACTAGTTATTTATTAATTGTTGCATTAAAGTATAAACTAATAAAAGTATTTAATTTTATTAGTTGCATTTTATTATTACTATTGTACTCATATTAAAACATTTGATATCATATAATATTTGTTACATTTTAAAGATGGACCATGCCAGACATTCCGTAGATGTGGGTAGTCTCCAACGCAACCGAAGGAAGGAGATTGTGACAAGTCATCCTAGTTTACGCAAAGGCAAAGGTAAAGGGCGGGCCGGGTCTTCTTCTCAAAGTCGAGAAGATTTTGATGACGGATACGAAAGGCGAGATGGGGATGCGATGTCCGACGAGCAACTACAACAACTATTGGCGCAAAATGATGGTCGCTTTTTCCAACAACAAAACATCCCGGAGTCCATTGATGAAGAGGAGCTCGAGGATGACGATGCGGAGGAGGACGAGGGGGGCGACGGGACTCACGACCCCCCGGATGATGAGCAAGAGTTGGAGGACGAGGGCGGTCCATCCCAAGTTGGTAAGAAATCTAAATCTCCTATTATAGAAAATAATTTTACAAAGAGGAAAGACCCAAAAACCGATAAATGGTACGCAAGTTGCGATCATTGCAAGGAGTATAACTTGGGAACTTCCGGCGGATACGGGAGCCTCAAAAGGCATCTTAAGTCCGCGCACTCTGTGGAGTATGCGAAAATAGACAAAGGGAAGGGGAAGCAAACTCAAATATCGAGGTTTGCAAATGACCAACCTTTTGGCAATTTCTCATACACTGATGCACAAAATTTGACTGGTATTGCTAACTTACTTGTTGAAGAAAATTTGCCTTATTTGTTTTCTGAAAGTCTTGCTTTTAAAGATTATGCACAAACTTGTTTAAATCCTCAATTTAGAAGTTATAGTCGCAAAACGGTTAAGAAAGAAATTATAAGGCTTTATCGTGCGGAAAAGGATAGGTTACAAAATTTTTTTTGCAAACTTTGACGGCCGTGTTACTATTTGTTCTGACATTTGGGAGGATACTTATCATAATTTACATTATTTGGGCCTGACTGCACATTTTATTGATAGTGATTGGAATTTGCATAAACGTGTTCTTGCTTTTCGTGAATTTAATGATCGTCACACCGCTGAACATATTTATATTTTGATTGAACGTATTTTAACTGAGTATAATTTGATTGATAAGGTGTTTGCTATAGGTTTTGATAATGCTACTAATAATACTGTTGCTATACCTAGATTGCGTGAATTATGTGGTTCTAATACTTTGATGGGTAGATTTTTTCATCAACGATGTGCATGCCATATTATAAATTTATGTGTGCAAGACGGTATAAAAGTGTTAGGAGATGCTATGGAGGTAGTCAAGGGGGGATTAGACGTGTTTGGGGCAATGTTCAACTTAAATTAAAATGGCAAAATTATTTGTTTGAAAGAGGTGTGAATATGTTGCTTTCCCTAAAGATTTGTCTATTCGGTGGAATAGTACATATAAATTAATTAAAGTTCTTCTTAGATACTACCTCTGTCCCATTTATATTGGGACGGAAGAGGGTGACACGGTTATTAAGAAAAGTGGGTTTGTGTGGTTGATATTAATTGATAAAGTAAGAATAAAGTAAGAATGATTTAGAGCCACACAAACTTTGCCAAATATGGTATGGGACAATTTAAGTAGGGATGGACTCGGGCCGGACCAACCGGCCCGGAACCGGACCGGCCCGCTACTGTGCGGGCCCGGACCGGCCCGGTGAACCGGTTCGGTTCCGGTTCGGGCCTCCCGGCCCGGTGGTATACCGGTCCGGGCCCGGGCCTCCAGTTTAGTGAACCGGCCGGGCCGGGCCGGGCCCGGTTCGGGCCGGAATTTAATTTTTTTTTTTTTGAAATTTTTTTAAGTTTTGGGTTGGATTAGGTATTTTTTGGCCATTTGAGGTGGTTTGGGGTGGTTTGGGGTGGAGGGGGAGGGGTAGGGGGTTAAATAAGAGAAGAAGAAGAAAAAAAAAAACATTCCGGGTGGTCCGGCCCTGCCCGGTTCTGGCCCGGAACCGGAACCGGAACCGCCCACCACCGGTTCGGGCTCGGGCCTCCTTTTTCTGAACCGAGGCCCGGCCGGGCCCAGGCCCGAACCGGAACCGGTCCACCCCTAAATTTAAGTGGGACTTCCCGAAAAGGTAAAACGAGACAATATAAATGGGAAGGAGGGAGTATAAAGAACATTTTCCTGCTTTTTTAAGACAATATGATAACTATATTTTAAACCCCGCTCACATCGACACTTGCGAAAAATTTGTAATGTTTTGATATATTTTAATAATGCAACTGAAAGTTTTAGTCATGTTTATAAACCTACCTCAAACGAATTTATTCGTGAAGTTGTTAATCTCGCCGATGCTTTTAATGAATTTGAGAATGCCGCTTACGTGAGTTATTTTTGTGGTTTTATGAAGGAAAAGTTTGTAAAATATTATGCACATATTCCGCATATTTATAGTATTGCATTTATTCTCGATCCTCGTTATAGACTTGGTAATTTGGAAGAATGTTTGAAGTTCTATTATAATGCTTTTTTTGGTCCGCAAGTTGAATACAACGAGGTTAGTAATTTATTTTATGCCTTATTTAATGAGTTTCGTGCACAATATGGCAACGCACCCCCTCCCCCGACACACACGTCTTCATCCAAAGGAAAATCACTTTTTAAATCTGTTTTTGGCAATCTTATGAAAAAACCTAAAACAACTCACACTACTGAACAAAGCGCACTTAATGAGATTTCTTTGTATATAAATTATGAGGTAGAATTTGACGAAAATGAGGAGTTTGACGTTCTAAAGTGGTGGAAGTCAAAAGAAAGAATGTTCCCGATTTTGGCACGGATGACTAAGCAAGTGCTATCAATGCCGGTTTCAACAGTTGCCGTGGAACAAGAATTTAGTTCGGCCGGCAACATTCTAACGGCATCTAGAACAAGTTTGAGCGCTGAGTCTCTTGAGACGCTTATATGCTACCACGACTGGTTGAAGGCCATACGTAGATGTCAAGAAGTTAGCATCACCCCTCCCAAGACTTTATGGATGAATCAACAACCGAGGGTGGCTCCTATGCCGGAGATTCCGATTGATTAGTATTTTACAGTTTATTATCAAATGTATTTCATGTTTTAATTTTTTCTTCAATTCTCTATTGTAATTTGTAAAGTTGTATTTCATATTTCAAATAAATATACATTCTTTTTTTTTATATGTAGCACTTCTCAAATTAATTAATTAATTAATTGGTTACAAACTTACAACTTACAACTTAGAATTTATTGTATTAGTATTTTTTGAAAAATGTATTTCATATTTAAGTTGTATTAAAAAGATAAAAAAAATTAACCTTGGCCCGACCCGAACCGGAACCGGGCGAAGGACGGGCCGGTTCCGGGGCCCCCTTTATAGGACCGGAGGCCCGACCGGACCTAGGCCCAACCGGACCTAGGCCCGAACCGAGTCTAGCCCTACTTGCAAGTGGTGCAAGAAAGAGTGTAGCTTGGAGCGTTCACACAGATACGGGATGCCCATAAAACATATGAAATCATGTGACAAAGGCAAAACAACAACCAACGATGACGGAAATTCCAATTGATATTTATTAAAAAATGTATTTCATATTGTAATTTTTTTCTCAATTCTCAAATGTAGTTCCTATTTCAAATAAATGCAACTTTGTTTTTAATAAGAATTTGTATAAACTACAATTAAAAAAAATATACAGGACCCGACCCAGCCCGGCGGGTGACCCGACCTGACCCGGCCCGAACCGGCACCGGCCATAGCACGGGCCGGTCCCGGGCCTCCCTCATACAAACCCGAGGCCCGACCGGGCCTAGGCCCGGCCCGGGTCCATGACTAGGTTCACCTACTTCAGAAGTCACTTCAGGTCACTCTATGGAAAGTGAAATAATGTTTGGTTATTTAAGCAGGGACTCGAAGTCCATTTTAGCGCTTTCCACGAAAAATACGGAGTAACACTTTTCAAGTGCAAGGATCTTGTGAATACATAATATTGCTCTGAAGTGTAACTCTATAAGACTATAACCTCTAATAAATAAAAAGCCTCAGCTACGCAATGGGAAATACCCAAACAAGCCATCAGGCCCATCACTAACACTCATTGTAAGTTTCAGACATGATCAGAAGCACAAGAGCCGTCCATCCAGTAAATCGCGCTCCTTTTCCCTTCCCATTCTTGGGATCGTATTGTTCCCATAGATACCCGGTCTTGTGATAGTTTTTTACAACGTTTCTGTCACAATAGGATTGATATCAATTTAGTTGGAACGATAACTCATTTTAAAGCACAAGCCGCATTACCTTATCAAGTTGCTTCTTAGTTCTTCATAGATAGTTTTGGCTTTCTCTCTGTATGGTCCAGGCTCTACAAAAGCAATTGAAGAACTCATTAGTGTTCATTTGGTGAGCTATTACTTTTGCTTATCCGCCATATTTTTAACAAAACTCTAATTTATGTAACTATGTTGACTGAATTGATTAATAATTAAAAAAGTTACTTTTGGGCAACAGGAACTTTTTTACTGAAGTTAAAATGAATGCAAATGATACTTTTACCCTCATTTCCTTTGATATTTTCATTAATTCACAAAATAAATACATCAAATATTTTTTTGATGATTCAACAGCTTTAGCAATTTTGGCCACAATTCCCATATTCATCCATTTCAACCAAATTCACCCTTACCAAACGGCTCTAAGTAAAATAAGGAGAATGAATTAGAGTATACTGCAACATTTTTCTTATGGGAGTTTTTACCTCTGGAATAATGGTAAAGTGAGCCAAGAGTCATGTAATTAAATTGCATCCAAATTGGGCCTCTCCAATACGGGGGGTCGTGCTCTGTGTTACGCTTCATATAAATGGAACTGTCACATAATGCGATACACCGATGTATTAATATAATGTATAATCTGAAAAAAGTGCTTAATATAACATTTTGTTCATATCGCTAATACCTTGTTTTGGAAAGAGATCTGAGACCGTAATCTGTCCACAAAGTACTCTCATTTGAAATCAGGTCTAGCTGTTTATCTAATATCCATGACCCCTATATGCAAGTCAATCAACACTTAAATCAAAATGAAGATGATCTCTGTATTTTCATACAAGAATTAAGAAAAACATTAAAAATGAATATTAATATGAATATGAATACTAGAATTTTCCCTTGCACTCCCTACATCCCCGAAAAAGTCATGTTTCTGAAATTATTTTTTGTACAAAAGACCCTATTTCAACAAAAGATTAATTTTTTATTGAGTTTAATGTTATTTTCTTGAAAAAAGGAGTTCCAAAATAAGTTAATTATATTACGTTTAGTTGAGCACTCAAATAATTTTATTAATGCACAAGAATGAAGGAAAGAATTAAATACTGCTCAATTCAAGACAAAAATAATATGAATATTAAAATTTCCCCTCATACTCTGTCCCCCAAAATGGTTTTATTTTTGTCCCCAAAAAAGTGTCCCATTTCAGTAAACGATTATTTTTTAGTCTGAGTTACTGGAAAAAGTGTTCTAAAATAAGTTAAGTATATAAAGTTCAGTTGAGCAAAGAAATAAATTTTAAAATACAAGTAGCATTTATAATTATATAAAAAGTGTACCTTATGTCCTTACCATAATTAAAAAGTTGTAACATGACTGTTTTTGGGGCAGAGGTAGTAATTAAATTAGTCTTTTACTTCTGATAACTAAGTTAGGTTGATTAGGGCATAGTTGAAAAAAATCAATTTATGTTTTCTGAAATTCCTAAAATAACACTTACAGGAGGGATGAGTTTGGCCATTAATGGGAAAAGGCTGACATATCCAACATGTGGAACCAGTCTCAACACGGGCTTCTCTAAGACTTCCCTTAGAAGCTCTCTGCTAGGATAGCTGGTGCCAGACCCAACAATTTGCCAAGATAGCCGAACCTAGATTCAAAGTACGGAGATGATTAACATATTAGCTTTGTTCAGCCCCACACTATTCAGAGGATACAGGTCATATGACAAGGAACAAGGATGAACCAACCATAAAAGTTCTAAAAAGATTGGGGCAGCATAATTAACGCAAAGATAAGCTTGGCCATTGAGGGGGAAGAGGTCGACATTCAACTATGTACCTTTTCTGTATGGTTTCCATAATCAAAATAAGCTCCAGAGGAACTATCAAAATGAATCTGCAAAGCAAAATTTAACCAGATTAAAGATGGATATACTTGAAGAGGATGTATGTCTCACTCTCCCTCTCTCTCCTCCCTCCCTCTCTCTCTGAAAAACTTATATATTAGAGAGAGTTTACCTTGTGGGTGGACAAGAAGAGTTTTTGCTACTTTTAATCCTCCAACTATTACGTCGGTTAACGCTTTTGGTACTCGACTTTGGATATTTCCAATTTGTCCTTCGACTCTGGTACGAGAGACACTTTGATACATGTCTTTGAGATTTTCCATATTTAGACCTTTGACTTTCATAAAAGTGACAATTTTGGTTCTTCAACTATTATCATAGTGACATTTTTAGTCCTCCATCTATTGTGAAAAAAAAAACATAGTGAAAGGACTAAATGTGTCAATACTCAGGGGACTAAATGTGGGGAATTTCAAAGTCGATAACTAAAAGTATCTCCCTCACAATATGCAAAGGACTAAAAGTGGAAAAAATCAAAGTCGAAAACCAAAGGTGTCACTGAATTACTGAAGCAATAGTCGTAGGAATAAAAATGGCAAAAACTCTAGACAAGAATAAAGAACTACAGTAATGAACAACCCCACTTGGAGAGTCATTTGAATGATGAAATCATTGAAAAGGGAAAAGAAAACGATATGGCAATATGATACCTCATTAAGAAGTTCAAAGTCTGAAAGCAATTCTGCTGTCAAATGATACTCCTGCACAAGTTCATTGTGAGATTTAATTAGTTACAAACATGAACTTTCAAAATCTCTCTCTCTCCCTCTCTCTCTCTCTCTCTCTCACACACACACACACACACTTACAACTTTTACCTGGTGTTTACTTTCCCTCTTAAGAAGCTTTGTAATGGAATGCATGCAATCTGCGGCAAGAAACATCCAGCATCTAAGGTCTAGGTGACGTTCTTCTTCATTTGGGTGAGAAGCACGGGGATAGTCATCCAACCCAGAAGATAGTGCCTGAATAAGCCAGTAGATAAAGAAAAAGAGGAATAACAACTTATCAGTTTCTTTAAATGAAGCCTTACAAATGTAACATGTTTTAACTAACACTCTGAAAGGGAATTTAAGTTTGTTCAGATAAATACAAGAACAGGATGTGAATCAATACCTTTGGATTTAGTTCACGGGTAGTTGTGTTGTCTCTCCCATGCCAGAAATAAGTGCCGGAATCCTTTCCTGTGAGTAAAAAAAGAATTTATAAGTGAATGCAGTGAATGGAGTTATAGATTCCTATCAGACATAAGAAAGGAATTAAAGACAAAAGATTTTTGCATTAAATTAAAGGCACAAAAGATCTCAACATTTGATATCCGAATATTATCCAATTCTCAATATGTGGTCACGTAAAATCCCTATCAGAGATTCTACAACTGACAATATATCTGTCTCTATAATGACCAATTTTCTTCATACGGTTAATGAGGGAACTAAATATGGAGCATCAAACTGGCGCAATCCTTCACGTCTTAATCTGGTTAGTGTTTGGATTATAGAAGGCCATCAACATAAAGAAAGTGTTGAAGTATCCAGTCATTCTTTAGGAATTTGGAAGATAAAGTCTCGATGAAATCCAAAATATGAAAAGATTATAGTCCATATTAATATGAGAAAATGAAATGATTTATGTAGCCTATTGCTCCAAAAAAGGCCCACGGCCACGGGTCAATGAGAAGATCAATGCAGTCCATGAGGAGCAATGGTAATTATGCACCCTTGTGCTTGCAGGCACTGGTGATATGTTATACTCAAGATGCCAAGATGAATGATGAGGTGACCAGGTGACTTCATGACTTATACGAAAGCCAAAAGCATTGTTACAACAATAACAACATCCAACAGCCAAGCCTTATTTCCAAAAGATTTTGGGGTCAGCTAACATGAATCAATCCATGATATCGGAGCCAAAAAGAAAAAGAAATAAATAAAAGATAAGGTAAGATAAAAAGGATAAGATAAAGATAAGATAAAAGAACATAAGAAAGTAAAATATAAAAATAACATAAGAACATAAGAAACATAAAGGCGATAAAAGATAAGAGAGAGAGAGAGAGAGAGAAGAGAAAAGAGAGAAAATAGATAAATCCTCCACACGAATATGCGCCCTCCAAAAGCATAGTCATTTGAGAAAATCAAACTACACAAGAGTAATTAATTTAGTATGCGCCCTCCAATCTATTTAATAGTCAACGACTACCAAAAATGAATCATTTCAAATTTTGGTTCTGTCTAATTTATAAACTGTTTTCATGTGGAACTCTACTACTTGTACTATCAGTTTTCTCTCTCACAAATACGGGAACTCATCATTTATTAAGGGGTGCTAAATTTAACTTTCGCCCTTTCTATCCCTCTCTACTAATAGAATACATCTAGCCTTCTAGCGTATTTATTTTACATGTTGGTGCCCTTGCTATTATAGGTGCAAAAAAATCATTTGAAAATCAAACTTACCAGACTGTGTGGTATTGAACCAATTGAACCATGTTTCAAGGCGAACCAATGCACGACCCAAGAAGATAGAGATGTCACTCCTTTCAGCAGCAGAAAACTTATTTTTCTTAATGCCACAAATCAGGTCTGTGAAAGAGAACTTTCACACTGGTCAATCAATTTATGACAGCATACAATTGTTCCACATTTACACACAATAGAGATAACCACTTCCACTATGTGCATATGATCTATCCAGAGTGCGTACATAGCAAAACTAGAAACTCTCCAGATCAGCAAAAAAGACTTGAGGGGAAAATTACCCCGTAAAACCAGAAACAACGTTGGGGGGTTTCCATTGGTTGGGTGTTGAGGAACGAATTCTTGAGGGACCTTACTGGGAAAAAACAGGCAGGATTTACAAACCAAAAAAATTTACATACACACTCTCAGTTTTCTCAGAAGGAGTTATTATCCTTACCTTAAAGCTTCAGCACCTAAAATTTGCTCACGTGGAATCCATCCATCAATGTTCATCAGATCCAACCAATGTCCAATAATATCCAAGCTAATATATGTATCCCAGTGCCTAATTGTGTCAGGATGATGAAATCATCATCAGGTTGGCAAACCAAGGAAAGAAAGGTCTGCTTGGAAGAGCCGTATATAATTGTTGATGAAAAAATGCCTAAAGCATGTACACATGAAAGAGTATACTCACCAAATTAATAGTTGATGAAAACCTTCATCCCATAAAAATCCCCTGGGAAAGAAAGGTCTGCTTGGAACTGCCGTATATAATTCAGCAGGCCAGTATAAAAGAAGGTTGTCGTCATTGCCTAACTGCATGAGTCAATCAATTGGAGGCTATGACTTTGATGTATATACATTCAAATAAGTATGAAGAGTAGACATTTTAACCTCACAGCTGCTTATAATGCAAAAGAACATTCCACAAGAGCCACAGAATTGACAAAAACATTGAATCTTGGCCAGATACAACTTAGTATATACTTTAAAGATATATCTTCTTATCACTCCAAGTAGAAACACTCGGGTAGAGTACAGTGAATGAGGACAAAATTAGGGATCTGTGGATACTGGATATGACAAAATTGTTAGCAGAATACTGCAAGGTTGATTGGGTGAAGTAAAAAAATTAATCACAAGGAATTGCACACTCAAAATTTGTTTTGCAAGTTCAACGATGGCCTAAACTATATTGGTGTTTGGATTTCATTTTCTGGTTCCTCAAGAGTCTTATTAAAACCATTTAAGACTTTCAGAGCACCCTCCTTGAGTCTTTAGTGAATTAGTTGTAATAAGACAGCCTATTCTGAATGTTGGAAATTTGAACAGTATATGGAAGCAAACACCCCCCCCCCCCCACCTCAGATACTAGCTAAGAGAGTGGTATCTTACTTTAGAGTTCTTTGGAAGCGCAATCTTTGTCTGTCCATAGAAGTATCCAATTCCACCCAATGTGTTTGCCAGCGCATCCCTACCCACCGTCACAGAACCAGAATCAAGCTGGTAAATATAGAAAACAGAAACAATAAGATTAAAGCAATACCATGGAACTCTATCATATTGTGTAGAGCAACCAATTGCATTCTGTAAAGACCACAAAAATGGTCCCATCTTAGTATCATACAAATTGCATGCACATCACATGATGTACTTTTGGATACAGTTAAACACACAAACACATCCATACATTAACTATCAGGGTAATACAAAGCAAGATTGCATAAATTTAAAGCATATTTAGTGATGAAAAAACTGTCACAGGATCAGAAAAAGCATAACAAAATTACTGTTGGGCAGCAGTAGTTTTAGCTCTGAAACAAACAAAACTTTAACTGTCTTTTAACATAACCATCTTGCTAATTTACATAAAATTTAAAAAGTGGGCGCTGGAAAAGCTGAAGAGAAATAATTATTGAAGAGCTTTTAGGGTGAGAAATTCAAAGAGATGTTTACACAAAACATCATACTCAAACTTTTGAAAACGTGGCATGAAACAGAATAATTAAAGATATGACACATGAAGTAGGTTTATAATCTAAAATGGCATGTAGGTAGTAGGTGATAAACAGAAATACCAAAACCAAAGAATAGCTTACATCTAGGAAACTCAAAATTTGTGGCATAAATAGGGGGCTTCATACTTACAAGTACATGTAACACAAATAATTAAATATATTCGGCATGAAGTAGATTTAGAATCTAAAAAGGCATGTAGGTAGTAGGTACTAAAAAGAATATCAAAACCAAAGGAATGGCTTCCATGTCAATATTTGATATTTAGCTGGAGTGTCTCTGCACAGACACAAATACCAAGAGGTACATGGAATGGCAACTCCTAGCAATTAAATTAATCTGAATATGGACATCATGAATGTAATCCTTCCGCATAGACACCACCTGGTCAGATACATTGTAGCATCTCTTGAACTTGTCATCAAATTCCATCTGCTTCTCATTTAATAGACTAGAGAGTGGGGAGCCTGAAAAATGCAAAAGACATCAAGTTCAATAATAACTGAACCAAGAGTACAACCTGTATTGCATAAGAAAAGTAACTTTCTGCAACATAGAAATTAAACACACCTGTGAGTTTGCTGAGACGCTCCTCGACTCTTGAATCTTGTAATCCAGTTCCAGAAACAAAAATAATATCAGCTTTGAGAGAAAGTTTAGCAGAGATCTACATTTAGAACATAACCATATAAGGATAGGCAACAAATAGATTCAGAATAAAATACTTTCTTAAACAATCTGACCCCATAGAGGCATAGAGTGAATCGTTCGATGATATGTACCTGGAAAACTAAAATATTTGAAGAGTCGTCCAGTGTATCTGAAAGCTGCAAGACACTAAACTTTCTTGCCTATTGGGAAGAATGTGGACAAGCAAATCATCACTCACATCTCAACATAAAGGGACAAACGTAGGCTTGATATGCATTAAATGTATAGAAATGGTACTGTAATTGTAAGTACATGAAAGTCAAACAAGAGAGGAATGACCAATCCATACTTTGACTCCCAGATTTTGTTGGACAAGGTCTGATAAATTATGAATGTGAGGAGTCTTGAAACCAGAATAATGGATATCAAAGTAATCCTGCGAAAAAATCCAACAGCTTTAAACTAGATAATCATTACAAGTATGACATGAATCCTATCTCTTTATGGTTATTCTAGATCTTTTTTAATTAAAAAGAAGCAAAATGAACAGTTATGTATAACAAGAATGTCAGTACACAAAAGTCTTGTTGCGGGAATGCTAAGGCTCAAACTTCAAAAGTTCAAATAAAAAGAGCTATGCTTTAGAGCTAGAGTCAGCCAAGTATGCAATGCTGCTAGTTTCATCTACCCATGGTTGCCTGGTTCGCATATTCTATTTTTTAATACAATACCTCCGATTTTAAATGGAGTTGCCAGCCTCCAACATCACTTTGGGATCCAAATGCTACGACAGACTCGTTATTGCTGCCTATGGCTCCTCTACCCAAAGTTAGAGCATTTTCACCTTCATCAGCAATGTAAAAGAAGAGATTCATGTTCTTTAACGTTTCCTCATCAACTACAGATCTGTCAACGCACCACACTTTCAAACACATTTAATAGCAAAAAATTATCAATATTTAACATATAAAATCTGGAGTCACGTTAACTGGGAGAATAGCAAATTCTCCTTCAATGTTAAGAAATTGTAAACTAGGATAAAACTGCTGAAAAGCAATAACGTTTTACAGACAAAATCGTAGGCAATCCTCTTTTTTAAAGTCTAGCCTATAGCTTAAAGTACTATTCAGATATTTTTCTTGAAGCAAGAAAGGAGAGGGGGGTTTAGAAAAAGATGTGAATACTAGTTATAAGTGACTCCATTACTAGTAGGTATTTAGGTAAGATATTATGTGGAGAACCAATGTGCACATTTCCAGAGTAAATACTGAGCTGTGTATACTAGAACTAAATAATTGTAGTCATAGTAACTTGAGAAGAGTAAGGGGAAGTACTCTTCGACGTGTGCTTCAACACGAGCTGTCCAATCTCCACCATAGCCACTACCATTTGCCTTTGACTTTAAAAAACTTGTTGTCAATGTCATTGAATGGTCAATTAAAACTTGATGCCCATAGTCCCGTCCATTATGCCTTGTCCAGGCATACATTTTGAGCTCATCTGAATCTTGGCAAATATGGCGCATGAAAAACCTCCCATCCTTTGCACCAATCCACATCAAGCCAAAAACTAAAGATTGTGGGCTCCTACAAATTGCAGCAACACAGTCACTTATTTCATCAAAATTCGTCACAGCCAACGAAAATTTGACAATCCTCTACAAGTCAAATTTACCACTCTGAAACCTGACAGAGATCAAAAGTTAAAAAAAACTTGGAAGCTCATTAGCACCATACATACTACGCCAAAAGTTAAAAAAAACTGCTTTGTATTGAAGTCCTATTCAGCTAACGCATATGAAGTGTAAAAATCTCTTCAGCTCTACTGAAGTAACCAACCTTTACCAAATGCATCAAAATAAATTCTTTTATTTCAGAAAATTAATAATACTAGTGCACTTGAGCGATAAACACAAAATTAGTAATCGATATTATTATGTAACAAAAAGAATTACCGCGCACGTATACCAAAATAAACTTGAGGTCGGTAAGTTCCCCAATACAAGCTTTCTTTGTGTTCTCCTTGAAACTGAAACCGTTACAACTCTCAGAGAACAATATATCATCCGAGTTCAAGTATTTATAATTCAAAAAGAAGTATGTAAAGTTTTACCATTGGAAGATCCATTAGCTTTGGGGCAGGAAGTGGAGTTATAGCACGGGGATTTTGCGGCACTTCGACGGTATTGAGAAGACGATAAATGAGAAACAATGCGATCGAGAAGGAAATGAATCCAAAACCTAAGAGGAATTTGAGGTTCACATCTAGGAATCGAATTGAAGTGTGTTCCTTGCCTCTCTTCCTTCGGAGCTTCGGGTAGAGTGTTGTGTTGCTGGATTCACGCTCGTCATCGACTTCCGACGGCATTTTCGGTCTGCTCCTAACAGTTCTTCGAGAATTTCCGGTCATTTTGGTATACTGTGGTCTATGGAGCGGGGTGAATTATCAGTGTTGATTCACCCCATATACTATAAATGCTGCTACACAGTACACACGCTCAATTGCTCAACAGTCAACATCTCAAACATTTTTTAAAAGGGATAAATACGTATCTATGAGTATAAGTGCTGAGAATTCCCAGAATACGTAGCTCCTTCGCGCACCCCAACAAATGCTGGGCGCACCCCATTTTTTTCAAACTTGGACAAATTTGTCCCTCTTATGTTTGTTAATCATACGGACTATTAATTAGTTTAGGGAAAATGGAAACTAATAATCCAACCTTTTAGTGGTCTTCTTATAATAGTCCCACCTTTTCATTATTCATGAATAATCCAACCTTTGCTCCTCATCTTCATTCATTGGTCCCTGTCCGGTTGATAACATGTTATTCCAAGTTATTTTCTTATCTTTGTAAACCATTATACCATAAATCTCACCTTTCACAAAGATAATATTTTGCAAAGATAAGAAAATAACTTGGAATAACAGGTCATCAACCGGTCAGGGACCAGTGAATGAAGATGAGGTGCAAAGGTTGGATTATTCATGAATAATCAAAAGGTGGGACTATTGTAAGAAGACCGCTAAAAGGTTGGATTATTAATTTCCATTTTCCCATTAATTTATTGCTAGTGCTAGTTAATTTGTCCTCGGCTGCAACGTTATTACTTTATCCAACGCACACTACCAATTTCTCTATGCAGTATTTTTGTAGCAAACAATTACTCCTGACCAACTACTCCTACAATATTTACCAAAAAAAATATTACTCAAATTACAAATATGCTACGAGTATTATTTTTATAAAACATTATAATCTATTCATTTTGTTTGGATTTTTACAAAATTAAATATTATTTATAATCTTTCATATGACACCAATATTATATGTTTAAGAGAATGATCACTCTGTTTAAGTTTGATTTAATGAGAAATTGCTAAATGTGTATTTTACCAAAGTGTTAATTTATAAGATGGCAACTTTGAAGTTTGAAATATACATATTAATATGACATAAATTCATATATTAGGAGACATTAGTTTATAATTATAATGCCATTAAGGATATTTGTAATTGTACTGGAATTTTCTAGTCCGGTCCAATCTAATCCAGTCTGTTTAAATTTGGTGTAATTTAGTATGGTCTAGATTAGTTTGGTTTGTAGGTGGTTGTTGTATATGTATTGTACAGTAATTGAAATCTTGTTTGATTTGATATAGGGAAAAGGTGCAAATAGGCCCATGTACTAACAAAAAAGGTCAAATAAGTCCTTATTTAGAAAGTTCTGTCCGGCCGTCGTCATTTGGGGTGGTTCCCGGTGAAATTTTTTGATGAAATTTTTTGAGCATCTTATTCATCAAGTCTAGTTTGCTCATATCAAATTTGAGTTAAAACTTCAATCGGGAACGCATTCAAATGAATTCTTGAAAATAACTGCGCAGTTAGAAGCGCATTTATTTTCAAGAATTCATTTGAATGCCTTCCCGATTGAAGTTTTAGCTGAAATTTGGTATGAGTAAACTAGACTTAATGAATAAGATGCTCAAAAAATTTCATCAAACAATTTCACCGGGAACCACTTCAAATGGCGACGGCCGGACAAAGCCTCCTAAATAAGGACTTATTTGACCTTTTTTGTTAGTACATGGGCCTATTTGCACCTTTTCCCTTTGATATAAGTTGGAATGTTTATGTTTAGTACCTAATTAAGAGCTCGTTTGGTGATTCTGTTTTTCGGCTTATCAGATTTATCAACTGACTTTTTAACCAAACACGTAACTTTTAATTTCGCGCGCTGAATTGTAAAAATAAGAAAAAGTAAGGTTGAAGTTACTTTTCTAGCTGTGTTGGCTGAAGTTACTACAAATGACTATTTTAGATATTTTTCATATAATTTTTTCTTTATTTTATTAACAAATTCATAAATCAGCATAAGCAGCCAATACAGCCACTTCAGCCAGAACTTCATAAATTTCAGCAGATTCAACAAATACAACCACTTCAGCCAGAACTTCATAAATTTCAGTAGAATCAACCAATACATTCACTTTACCCATAACTTCATAAACTTTAGCAGAATCAACCGATTTCAGTGTTACCAAACAGGCTCTAAAAGATCCCAAATAGTGTTAATCACAATTAATACCCGACCCTAATCTACCCCGAACCTGTATTACCCAATCTGACCTACCGTTCATGTGCTCATTTGCCCACCCAAGTGTAAACACCTTTTAACGTGCATTACTTTTAAGTTTTAATGTTCATTCAAGAAGGAATAATGAATACGGATTTTTCAAAATAGAAGTAAATAAGTTTTAGAATTTCAAAATAGAACTATTACTACCTCCGTCCCCCCTAAGTTTGGGACAAGGTGATGTGGTGTGGTTTTTAAGAAAAGTAAAATTGTATGGTTAGTATTGATTTGATAAAGTGTGAATAAAGTAGAATGAATTCTAGCCACTCAAACATTACCTAATATGGTATGGGACAAACTTAATGAGACGGACGAAAAAGGTAAAACGGGACAAACTTAAGAGGACGGAGAGAGTATGTTTTTCTTTCCGAATAAGTTTTTGTAGTCATGACTGCCAAATAGTTGCAGTACTATGCATTCAACATGAGAGTAGTAACTCATATTTCGAAACAAAAAACATAATAGTCTTATTACGGAATTCCCTAGAAAAAACATAACAATCTTATTTACTCGTATTTAAATAATTTCCCAGAAAAAATAATTATAAGGGTTAGATTAAGACATTAAGTAGTAGTAGTGGTGTCTTACAAAAAAAAAAAGCAAGAAGTAGTGGTGGGCAAGTAACACCCTATTGCAAACTACATAGGAGTACATACGCAGTCGGCAATACTCCGTATAACAAGCCGTGGATTATACTATTCCGTAAAACAAAAACTTAAACTTGGGACACTTTTGTCAAAACAGGGTGCGCATAGTAATTTTGTAGGTGCGCGAAGTAATGCCCAGAATATGAGTGGGTAAGTTTATTGACCAGCGTATGACTAGGGAAGAGGGTAAACATGGAACACGCATATTCCGGTCATCCTTAACCGTCTTAGAAAAGAGGGAAAAGCTGGAAGGAAACCTAAATATTAAAAGGCACGATCATGTACATACATGCCATGTGCCATCATTTAAGGAAAAAGAAGATATTAGTCATAGATTAAGAAACATAAAAGGTTTTAATCATACGTGGGGAAGCGGTCCAGCTCAGCTAGTCGCCGACTCGCTCTCCCTTATGCGAGGTCCCAGATTCGAAACTCAATGGAGTGAGTTTCAGCCCAGTTTACTCCAGGCTCCCCCAAACCCCCTCCCCAGAAACCCCCTGGAGTAAAAAAAACGTGGGGTAAATTTCTCTTTTAAAACGGGGGTGATGTTTTAAAAAATCTAATCCTTTTAAAGAAAATATTAAATAAATTTTAAATTATGTGTAATTATTAAATAAGTTATTATTTACTCGTATGACTTAGTTGTATTTTTGGAGCCCGTTTGGTGACCCCATTTTTCGGCTTATCAGACCTATCAATCAATTTTTTCATCAAGCACATAACGTTTGATCATGTGCACTGAATTGTGTAATAATAAGAAAAAGAAAGTAAGGTTGTAGTTATTTTTCTGACAATATTGGTTTATGTTACTCAAGTTGACTATTTTAGCTAGTTTTTCATGTAACTTTTATTTTATTAATAAAACTTATTTTAAATATAATTTTCCATATATCAGCAGAATCAGTCAATCCAGCCACTTCAGCAGAACTTCATAAATTTCAGCAGAATCAGCCAATTCAGTCTATTTCAGTGTTACCAAACGGGCTCTTGATGATCTATATATCAAGATTAAATAATTAAAAAGATAAACAAATTTTTGAAATTTAAAAAAAAAAGATACTACCTCGGTCCCAAATTATTTTGCAAAGTCAATGTTTTTCTCAACTAATAATAAAGCTAAATTCTCGTTATGGATAATTAATTCAATTTTAATAATTAAAATTTACGTATTCAGAAACTACATTAAAATCTCTATCAAATTGAAAAATCCAAATTAAAATTTAATTAAAAATTGATATTCTAATTAAGTGAATGAAATGAATCTGTATGAATAAAAAGACTCAATTTTACAATTCAATTTTGTACGGAGGGAGTATAAAAAAAATGCATTAGCTGTTTTTTTACATGTGGAGCACAATTAGCTTAATTGCATTACTATTTTTGAATTGCTATTATGTCATTGCCTGATTATTATTATGTCACTGCCAATGACTACAACACTCACCCTTATCGCCACAAGTGTCACCATTGCTGTCGATGTCATGTCACCGCGAAGCATGTCATTATGATCGTCATAAAATTTTGTTATTAAAACAAAGTTTAGTTACGTTTTTTGAAAAGTGAAAACTAATTATATTTTTATCTTCTAAGAGCCCGTTTGGTAGCACCAAAATCGGCTGTTTTGGCTGATTCTGTTGAAATTTATGATATTCTGGCTGGAGTGGCTGTTTTGGCTGATTCTGCTGATTTAAGAAAAAAATATTTTAAAAATATATTTTATTAATAAATTAAAGAAAAAATTATATGTAAAAATAGCTAAAATGGTCCTCTACAGTAACTTCAGCCAATACAGCCAGAAAAGTAACTCCAACCTTACTTTTTCGGCTTATTACACAATTCAGCGCGCGAAAGTAAAAGTTACGTGTTTGGTGAAAAAGCTGGCTGATAAGCCTGATAAGCCGAAAACAGAGTTCTCCAAACGGGCTCTAAAAGTGCCAAAGTAATTTTTTTTTTCATTTTCCTATACTTTTAGTGTATTATTGCTTTTTGCAAGTCATATAAACAAGCCATAAATATATAAAAAATGGTCAATATATATTTTTGGCAACATGATAAAAAAAACATACATACTACGTTTTTTATTCAGATTTTTAAAAATCTAGTCCAATAACCGATCTACTAGTTTAGTCTACTGTCCTAGTCCATCATACTTCGTATATGTTTTACTATGATTTAAGTTGGAACCTGATCTGGTATGAGATTAAAATAAATCTAAAATAGAATTTCGTCCATAATACAGGTTTAAACATGACTAGAAAAGTTATTTACAACAATTTATTTTTAATATTTAAAAAATATAGATAAATTGAAAAACTAACATTCTAATTTGGACGAAACTAACTGTATTAATAAGATGAGATAAATAAAATAAGAAACATAATATCAATTTGGTAGGGAAATAAATCATAAGTGGATGAAAAAGTGGCAGGAGTGTAGAAATCAATGACCCGAACAAAAAATGGGAAAATTGTCTATCCTCTGAAGTAACTAAACAAAAAAATGAAAACAAGGATAGAATTGTCCGATAATGATGAAAATTGGGTGCGCGCAGCAGGGTCGTTCTCAAATGTTTGTAATTGATTCTTTTCATTTCCAGAAGTTGGTGTTCCTTGACTTTTAAAATTTTATTTACGGGAACATTTTAAAACAAGGAAGTTCTTAGTGTGCATGAGTTGTACACAAAGTGTGCTCAAAACCTCAAAATTGATTGTGTACATAGACCATTCGTTTGAAAAGGAATGAGATTTGAAGCTAAAACTCCCCTAATTGCGTGTGTACACAAGCAATATACAAATTGTGTACACATTTTGTTTTTTTTAGCCAAAGTAAAAAAATTATTAATGAAAGAGCAAAAGAAAATACAAGAAAGAAAATAAAAAAGAGCACGACAAAAACAAAAGTGAGTGCACCCAACCCAACCCAACCCAACCCAATGTTCCCGCATTCACACGTCCCTCCCTAAGAAAACTCGAGCACACATTGAAACATTAAAAATCGGCTCGTGTTTGAGATCTAGTCCTCATAAGATGTGAGCGTTGATTCTTCTTCTTGTACATTTTGAGCTGTGTGTTCAAATTCTCTGTAGGTAAGCAATTTTCTCTTGTGACCAATAGAGCTTTTTCACAGATTTCCTGGTTTGCATCAGAGTCCCATAGATACTCCACAGTGGAAATAGGAACTCTCCCCTCGTTCTCAGAAACATGACCCAGAAATTCGTCCCTTGAATATGTAAAAAATGTATCGTTATAAACTCCCTCACGAGAAAAGGATTCTGAATGTTGATAATCGTTAAAAACATCTGTTGAGATATTGACCTCTGGTTTTACACATCTAATAGCACCCCCCTCTTCTGTATGTCCTGTGTTCAGATTACCCAAGGAAGTAGCAAGAATTCTTTCAAATTCCTTTAGTAAAAAATGGGAAAGAAAATCTACCCCATTCGTCATAATAGTCCGAAAGAAATCCTTGAGATGCTCTAATGAAAGATCATGTCCAGGAGCTTGTTCTGAAGTGTCCTTGGTATGAGGCATCTCCAGAGAATTAACAATATCAATATCAACTTGAAGCAACATTCCCGAAATAGAAAAATCAGTGTTGCATGAAGGATGCCTATCCCCACTTGGTAGTTGCGAGAGAAGATCCTCCTCGAAATTAATGTTAGTGTTACCCGTAACTCATTCAGTCTCCAAAGTTGGTGAACTGATTGCTTTTAGGGAGATTTACTGTAAGGAATAAATGTACTTAGATTTCGATGATGCTAGTTTAATTAGGTTATTAGACTACCCCCATTAGAATTTGATGTATTAGACATTTTCTAAGTGTAAGAATTTCTTAGAGTAATCGACTGACAGAAGACCCATAGGCCCTCTGCTGGACTTGGATTCTACAGAAGTGCTCATGGTCCTCTGTGGAGCTACTGATAGACAGAAGAACTCGAGGCCCTCTGTGATCTGCTCTTCTGAATACGGCAACAAAAGTCCTCACACTTGTCAAATTCTCACTCAAGCTTAGCCGGCTATCTTAACGGAAGATTCTCTCAACGGCTAGCTCATACTCAACGGAAATGCTACAGGACAGCATTTAATGCTCATTTAATGAGCTCTACACCCCGAAGAGTTAAAGCTGATGATTGACCGAGAATACTAGAAAGCCTATCCCAAAATAGCAAGACGCCAAACTTACGGGCTCAACCGGTCAACTCAAACAGTACGCGCATTCAATGCAGTTGTCTCCTCTTCCAACGGGAAGACAACCTCAGTATAAAAGATACATGATGAAGAACAACCGAAGAACGATTGCTCTCACCTCAACATTCACAAAGCTTTCTTGAGATTCAAATTCTATCTCCATCAAACAAGAAAAAGCTTACGTTGGAAAGATCATAATCTCACATATCCTTCTACTCCAACAAGAGCAAGTTCCTCCAGTTCTTCAATAACTTCAAGCACCTCATTTACAAATCTTTTGTGACGAAGCAAGTTGGAGAAAAACTCTGTTTTTCTACAGAACATCTTCTGCAAAGAAGGAAGTCTTAAAGTAGCTGGAGTAGTGAAGTGGTGATACTTCAAGGAGACTCAGTGAAACAAGACCAGTCTTAAAGGAAGCAAGGAAGTGCATCCCAGGAGACATCTACACTTGAAGAAGACATGGAGAGCTTCTTAAGTGCTAGGACTTAAGTGTTGTAATTGGTCTATTACAAGCTTAGTGGAACAGTGGATTAGAGGAACAAGTTGTTCCTTGAACCACTATAAAAATCCCTGGTGTCATTTACTTACTGCTTTTATTACTCGCTTTTACATTTAAACTGATTAACTCCGCAGAAGTGGTATCTGTGTTCAACAGAACACCTCGTGTGAGTTAACAGAAGGCCTAATGCCTTTGCACCTTTGTGAGGCTATCCCGACAGAACCCCTACCAGAAGACCTCCGCTGCCAGTCTGTTCCCAACAGAACAGGCTATTCTGTCAACCTTGGTACTTAGCTTGAAAAAGTTAAAAACCATAACCGTCTATTCACCCCCCTCTAGAATGTTACCTCAATAACCGGGACCAACATTTACCTAAATGGAAGCAATTAAAGTTTTATTTGCCAAAATAGGACTAAAGTTTAACAATCCCCTCAATAGGAGTTATTATTTGTAATTGGACATAAATACCCCAATCTTGACAAAACATGTTGTCGCTGGCTGACCACTGAACCGGCCGCCGCCGGCAGCCGTCGGCCGCCGCCGGCAGCCGTCGGCCGCCTACTGCCGCCGATCATCGCCGTTAGGGGTGGGCAAACGGGTCTTGAACCGCGGTCCGGTCCGGGTAATGGCGGTTTGGGTCCAAAACGGGCCGGTTTCATTTTTTGTTGCATGAAAACGGTCCGGGTAGGGTCGGGTAATTTTTTTTAAAGAACCAGACCGGTTCCAAAATAATAAAATGCTGGGTACCCGGTCCGTTATATACATATATTGTATATTAATTTATTAATAGTTTTGTGATGATCGGTTTTGATATAGTTTTGATTCCTTTGCCAGAAGTAGGATTTTAAATTAAGTTGCAGTAACATCCCTTTGTTTTCAAATTACTGCTTACATTTTACATAAATTTCTTATTACTTTTTATTGTTAGTGAGTTATTCCTTTCTATGGAATTTAATTATTTGTTAAAAATGCATTTGTAATATTTATTTTTATAATATTGCTCTTAAAAGTTCTTCAAAAAAACATATTGTTCTTAAAATATATAAATTGTGTTTACCACCCTCATGTATGTGTCAATTTTGACTAATAATGAAAATTTAATAAAAAGAATCACCTAAATATGTGATGTTAGACAACATGTTTAAATTAAAATGTTAGAAAATATGTAAAATATGTATTTTGACTATGTCACTGATTTGTGAAACTTCTTTAATTGTTTGGATACATGAAGTTATGAAGTATTGGAATTGTCACTTGTGTTACATGTGCACCACTATGTTGTTATTTTGAAACTTGCTAATGTACTATATTTTTTATTATTGATTTTTGGAACTTCGTTAGTTTTTACTACTTTTAAAACATGGGAATAAAAACCGTAAAACTCGAACCGGACCGACCCGTTTCAAACGGGCCGGGTAAGGTCCGGTTCCTATTTTGAAAATTGCAATACCCGGACCGAACCGGACCATACAATGGAACCGGCGGTTCCATTTTATTTTGCATTACCCGCCCCGACCCGGCCCGCACCCAGCCCTAATCGCCGCAGCCTAAAAAATAGCCGCTCTTCCAGATTTGACCGCCACCGGTGCAAACATGGCTGCCACTGCCGTAAATCCGACCGCTGCCAGCCGCCACTGCAGATCCGGCCACCACAACTTCAGATCTGACCGACGTCGTCTATCATGCCAACTTTTTTATCCGAATGCCAACCTGAATCGATAATGCCATCTTAATGGCATTTTCAATGGAAAATGTAAAATTTTTTAGGTGTAAGAATGTCATTTTAATGGCATTCCCAGGAAAAAATTGACAATTATAACAATCAAAGAAGAAGTTGAACATCAGACATAGGATGAAACATAAGATGGGAAGAGAAAAACACAGAAGAGAGGAGGAAGAAGGAGGGGATGAACAATGAGATACTTTACTCTTCCTTCAGATCTGGATCGGAATTCACGCACTCCCTCGTTGTTCGCCTCTTCTCGCCTCTACTGCTCGGCGATGCTCGCCGTCACCGCTCGCCGCACCAGAAAAGCTCGTTGGTGCAGCTTTCCAATCGGAGAAGACGAGCTAGCAGAGAAGAAAACTCACCATCTTGCAACCTGAAATATGAGCAGATTGGAGAAGATTAGTTGGTATGTGGAGAAGAATTTAAGAATCGGAGCAGAAAACCTATTCTACCAAGAAAAGAAGCTGAGTAGGTATTGGGTGAAGAAGATAAGGTATGCGTAGAGAAGGAAAGGTCTGCGCAGAGAATGAGATGGATTGCACCGAGAAAAAGGGTAAAATTGGAATAATTGTCCTATTAAGGAATAAAAATATATCTACTCCTATTTGGGAATTTAACTAATAATTAAGTCCTATTGACAAAAAAACTATTGCTTTTATCAAGGTAGTTGCTTTTGTAATCCCTGCCATAAAATGAAGAATTCCTCGACCATTTCTCCCTTCGGGTATAAATAGAGAGTCCTTTCCCTTTTCAATTATACGGATAAATCCTCCAAAGAAATTATATCATATAGGATGAAAATGGAATCCTTTAGCTCTAAACGGTTACACCAATTTCCAGACAGAAGTTTGGGAATGGAATCAATTAACCAATTCATTCTTTGGAGGTCAAGATCAATAGCAAATGAAATTCCATGTTTGATTTCGGATATACGAATAGCATTGGAATCTAATATATTGAAAGAAAAAGTTTTGATTTCAATAGAAAATTCAAACCCATTCACATGCCTTCTCCGCTGCAAGCCTCTATGCTTAGAAAAAGATGTGGCTTCTCCAGATCGAGCTCTCGGTCTCTCATCTTTTTAACCAAGCTCTGCATAGGTTCTGATGTGAATCCCGGTTAGTGTCCCAGATCTGCGTCCCTGCAATTGGAACAACGAAAGAACCGAATCGAAGAGTAGAGGTGCCACTGTCTATAGACCGTCTAATACCTCCTGAAGAAGACCCTGTGCCAACTTCTCCATTGGCGTCGACGAGTTGCTGAGCGATTGGAGAGGAGCTTGTAGTGACCTTTGTTGCGCCTATCTCCCCTTGCTTTCCCGCTAAGCTGTTGCTGTGTACACATTTTGTATACAACAATTAAGAATTGCCATTAAAGCAATCGCTGAAAATAAAGGGTGAGGAAGTCGGCCGATTCTCAAAATGTTGTCATCAACTCTACTAGTAATCCAGTCATGCATTGCACGAGATGTAATTTATGATTATTATACATGTGAACAAACATACTTATGAATCTATTCATCAATAAGTAGGATTAATGTATAAGTTAACCAATGAATTGGGGAATTCTTAGCTATATACGAAGTGATATCTATAAGCTAATAAGCATGAATGAGAGTTAGGGTATTATGGGTGTGGAAAAATTTGTTGATGGTATCATAAGCTTAGTTGACATGTACAACATGTTTTTTAAAGGAAAACTAGCATATACATTAAATCAAAATTCGCAGTACAACCAGCAGAAATTGCAAACAATAAGCGTAAACACCTGACATTACCCTCCCGCTAAGCAAACATAACCAGAAGCCCCCCAGTCCCCTCACTTCTTTATCAGACATAGAGTAGTCCAACCCAACAAGAGCGAGACTAATCGCTGAAAAATGTGAGAGATTTGAGGCTATTAGCGACTGAATCAGCTTGATTGCCTCTCACCAGAAACCTAGAAACTAAGGTACCCCAAAATAAGAAACTACCACACTTGTTATTTGACCTACTAGAAGCAAAATAAAGATTACCAAACAGAATAAAGCAAAAACTAATAAATATTATCTGCGTCTCCGTCTTCGAAACCCTAGTTGCATAATTCCTCTGTGGCGGCGGTTCAGGAGGGGGACGAATTCCCCACATGCCATCTTCTTCTTTAACCACCTGAAGCGGCCAGAGCATCGGCACTGATCCCCCACCAAACTGGAAGAGAAACGGGGTTGCTGGTGATCGAACACGGGTAAGAAAGAAACACACCCTTATGCAATACCAATAAGCTACACGAAATTGTTGGTCTATATGGGACGCTAGTTGTAGCTATTACAATATATTATTACTAATTAAGTAAAATAATTAAATAATAATTATTTAATAAATATCGGTTCGGTTTGAACCTATTTTAATATCATAGAATCGCTCCCAAACCGATTCATATTCGGGTCCCAAGTTTCGGGTCTCATTCAAGTCGGTTTGGTTTCGTTTCGTTTTTTTACTCGGTTCGTTTTTTGGTTTTTCGGTTAAAAATGACAGCCCTAGTTTAAAGTATCCGAATTGGAATCCAATTGATAACGAAGACTCTAAGAAAAAGGGAATCCCGAATCCCAAGTCTCTCTACCTCTGTTCTTCATATTCTCTCGACTCTTCGCCTGAATCATGGATTTGGTCCATGGGCTCTGGCTTCAGTGTGAATGTTTGATTAAGACTAGCATAAATATTGAATAGTGATTATTGTTTGTCCCTTCATCAGCACTTTGGCGGTTTCAATATTTCCTTGTTAATCTAAAATTCTAATTAAATTGATGACATAATATGATTCAGATTTATGAATTTCTGATTTTTTTAAATCAAAGTAGACCGTTAGTGTTAGCCCATGTGATGTTATTGTTTTCATTTGTTTTAATCACTAATGATGTAGATTACATGTAAAGGTGGCATAATGAATTAAACATGTTTAATAGTCATTGTTACATAGTCTGGCTTATTTAGGAAAGGTGACTTTTAGTAACTATTACAGAGATGCTAATAGTGTTGCTCACTACATGGCCAAAAACGTCCGACTTTAGTAGTTACTTTTGTCCTGATGCAGTTCCTTTAAATGTTAAGCATGCTATTTTTTCTGATCTTGTTGGATTTCCTTTTATCCGTCGCCTTTTTTGGGTAAAGTTTAGTCCCCAGTTGTAATCTTTTGATTGCCTTATTAATGAACATAATCTGCCACAAGAGAATTGTAATCTTTCGGTTGCCTTATTAATGAACATAATCTGGCACAAGAGGAATCTAACCCCCTAACATTCCAAAAAAAAGACAATTCATTGAGAAATGGATGGGAAAGTTTGAAGAAGCTTGCAGCTTATATCTTTTGCTGCAGATGGTATAACATCAACCTTATCCTTTCTTTTAACAACATTTGTGGTTAGTCTAGGTGATGGTTCCATGTGTTGCTTTCTTCTTGATCTTCTTCTGCAGGTGCCAAAGAGTGATCAATAGAAGGCTAAAAAAGGCTGAATAGAAGACTCATTAGATGGTTCAGTAGAGGGTGCAATAGAGGGTACTGTGGCTAGTCAAGTAGAGGGTGCATGCTGAATAGAGGAATCAGTAGAGGGTTCAATAGAGGGTGCAATACCAAGTTCATCATATGGCTCAAAAGATGGTGCAATAGAGTTAATAGCAGATTCGGATGCAATATAAGCTTCTTGCGTTGCTTCCCTCTCAACTAAGATCCACTTTAGAACTAATCTCAAGCCATGACTCTATCCATGTTTGAAATGATTACAAGTGCTTTTTAGTCTCACAATTAGATGAATAATCTTTTTGTGCTATTATGATTGTTATTTTTGGTTTAATTTTGTTCAAACTACGTAATGACATTACGTTTATGGTATTGGGGTTAAAAATACTTTTACAGTATTGGGGTTAATAGCAATTATATTATCTCAGTGATTTTTAAAGCATATATCTTTACAAACTTATAACTTATAATCATGATTAGAGATAGGTAAGGGTGCAAATGGTACATAGAAATGTTAGTGTAATCCGATACTAATAGTTAGTTATGCAATGAGGTTGAAAGCTTCCATCAGTAGAATTTTGTTGCCAATTTTTGTAAGTAACTCTGACTAAATGCCTATGAATTGTTTGTTGTTTTCATTAATGGCAGGGCACTGCAAGGAGCTGGCCAAAAAAGAAGAGAAATACAAATCAATGCAACTACAACTCTTTTTATGCATAAAAGATGCAAAGCATCACGATTAAGGTTGTCTATGTGTGTAGACACATACCGGCGACAATACAAGTAAATTTCTTTCATCTTGAACAAGCTTTATGTGTTCATTGTATACTAGATCTCAAAACTAGTGCTATTGAGTGTAAAATATTCTCAGATTAAAAAATGAAATTGGATGACCTCCTAGAAACTATTGTCAAGTAAACAATCTTTATTGAATCTTTGGTGCTTGTGAAGTATTTTAGAAAATAGGCAATGCATTTCAAAAAAATGCATTTCTTAGCATTGGGTATATGCAATACTAGGTAATTGTTGTGCTTTACACACATGTGATATGTGAAAGGAGAAAAAGGCAAATAAATTATTCTTATGTATGTCTTCTGCAAGGCTACATACATGGGCGGAGCTAGGGGAGGGCCATCTCTGGCCCTGGCCCAGCCCAAATTTTAAAAATGCCTGTATTTTTAGTGTAAAAAATTCCGTGTAAAAACTTTTCAAAAAATATTCTTTGTATCGGCCCAGTCCGGCCTAGTGCTCTAGCTCTGCCCCTGGATACATACATCCTTTATACTAGGAGAAGGGATCCGCTATTAACGGTGCGGTTATCCCTTGAAAGTGGAAAATTCCTAATATAACACAATTACAATAATGATAGAATAATCTCTTAACATAAATAAAATTGCTGCCAAATATATCCCGTAATAGTAATCTATAGTTAGGTTGCTTAGTTTGACAAGTTACTGGTGTGGATATATCTATAAAAACAGTCAAGTTTTGCATTCAATGTTGGGTAGTTGAGTCAAATTAGAATTTGTTTGGTGTGAGTCCATTCTGTTTGTAAAAATGTTGAAGTGACACGCACCCATGTTAAGAGGTGTTGGATTAAGCATCATGTACTGTAATGTTTTCAATAATTCGTACAGAAAATTTTACGTTACAACACGAGGTACTAATGACAATTGCTTCTTAGTGGTATTGTTTCTTGCAGAGAGAAAGCAGAGGCGGAGATGCATTTGAGTCCAATGATCGGATTTTTTAGTTTTTAACCAACTCATGACTGAAGTAGATGGCACGACAACAAAAATGACCATTTTCATTATTGCAGCTAAAAATGGACCTGGTATATTGGAGTTGGAACTCAATAAAAGTTAAGTGCCTTATAACACAATAACACTATACATTAATCATATAAGGAGCAATAGTTCCAAGCTGCATTTACTACCTTAGTACCTTTAGAAGTTAATTCATGACATCAAAATTCAGGGAAACCCCATAATACAATCTTACGTCATTTAAAAGACTTGAAAACTGGAATTCTAGGCAGACTAATTCCATATTAGGTAGACTAATATGGTAGGCTTAACTATTGGGATATTTTTTTCAAATCAATATCGAGTAGAAAAATTCCAGAATATGTTTTTAGTTTTTTACTATTGTGTATCCTGCAACTTAAATTTCTGTTAGTACCCCCAATATTGGATTAGTGTGCCGCTCATTTTTTAAGGAGACGGTGCGGCAGGTATGATTAGGCTGGAGAATTCATCCAGATGTGCGTCTCGGTTTGGAATCCTATTGCAGGCTTGCAGCAACCAAAAGAGGCAACCATGTTCTTCCCTGAGCTTCATTTCAGTTTTGTGTAGAGTGCAACCAAGCAGCAACTCACGAGCTTGCTCAAATTGCAAAAAGACACGGAACCGTTGGCGGTTTTACGACTTCAGTCACCACACCAGATAAACGAGTTGCTGAAACATGATTGTAACTTAGATTTATTCGATCAATAAATTCCCTATCCTCTCAAATTAGTGCTAGGTGTTCCTTAAAAAAAGATATGGTCGTTCTAAAGTTAGGGGGGGTTTTACAGTTTGTAGAAATTTTCTGTTTAACAAAAGAAATATCAAACACTCTCTGGATGTAGGTGGCTTCACACAAGTTTATGCTTTTTAATCTTATCAAACACTCTTGATCATTTCTCCCTTATATCAAGTTTGATAGCATAGTTCTACAATTGTATATAATATTGGACATTTATCTGATCGCGCAACGCGCGTGTAAAAACTAGTAGAAATTTAATAAGCATCGTTTTACAAATTATTGAAGACCCTGTAAAAGGCATTTGTTGAGATTTTTTCAGATTTTCTTTTTCATCACATATCACGAAGTGTAAATCAGAAGTTGTCACCTCTTAAACCCGACACGCGTGTCACCCACAAACATTGTATGTAGTATATCACAAACTTCATGAGTGTTCCCCAAATAGATTAATAGCGTAAGTAAAATATTTGAATATTTGATAAAGTATTCATTTTAGGAAGAAAACTTGATATCATCTTCTTTTTTCAAACAAAACATTCGAATAATATCAATCAAACTGTGACTCAAAGCACTCAAAAATGTAATTGGGTGGAAACAAAATCCAGACTGGACTGTCATACAAAAAATATCCGCTCACAAGCAATAGAAATGTTATTAAAATCCTGCATTAGACTTCTTATATCA